CCTGGCCTGTGGCAATCTCAGACGGCACTTCCTCTAAGAGGTCAGTACCATCATGACCCTGTTCTGATCTGCAGTCTGCAAGCAGGTATTTGCAGCTGTCGAAAAATGCCTTGGCACACGTCAACGTTCAAGAGATACAGTTGACCCAAGCAACTGCCTGGCCTGTGGCAATCTCAAATGGCACTTCCTCCAATAGGTCAGTATCATCATAACCCTGTCAGCAACACTTTCCAAAGGGCATCAGCTACCCATCACGGAACGCCAATGTGACAACAATTGAAGTAGCAAAACACTCGGCGATCATACATTCATGTCTCCTGCTTGCAGCACCTGGGCCCTTCCGATAGGACAATCAATAGGAGCGACTAGCGAAAACAAAGTCATATATTTTACGAATACCTCAATCATTTCCTATCATTGCACGAGCAAGTCGGCTCGTGCAGAAGCAATGCCGTCAAGTATCTGGCCACGCTCGGGCTGATCAGTGGGTTGGTTTGCAGTTCAGTAGGTCTGGGATTTTGTAATTATTTGATTTGCAGGTTTGCAGGCGGCAGGCACGCTGTCTTGCTACGATCTTGAATGCAACTTTCGACATTCCATGCGTTGGGTCAAGCTGAAGCGCTGCAAAGGATGGCCACCTACAAACCAGTTCACACGCGCTTTGATCTGTGCACACGTCGCAGCACAAAGCCGCGCCAAGCCACGCCACTTCTCGCCCTTCTCACAAGCGCTGATGGCAGCACTCAATACAACCACATCCAGCTGCCTAGAGTATGAGTTTCCAAGAAGCAGACGCAGTCATTTAACACACAAAGAAATAATGGTCAGCAAGCTTGTATCCAAAGTTGGCGACTAGCTTGAAAAAGCTGCTCAATCCGCTGAGAATCAAATTTAGAGCCTTCACTTCCGCAAAAATCTCGAGTGCCCGTCGCCACTCGTTCGCCTCAAAACCACGGGACTGTACTTCCAGGTGCCTCCCGTCTCTGGCATGGTAAGCGAAGAAAGCAATAAGAAAGCGATGTTCACCAAAAAAAGTCCTGAATCCCAATCTGCCAAGGCTTGCGCATTGCAAGAATGGCTAACACACTCATTGGCCTCTCTTACGGCAAGCAAAATAGGACTGTAACTATAATGTTGGTACATGTGGGTGGATTATCCATGTTAGGTCAACCAACACTGACCATGCCCGTGTCGAAGCAGCCATGCCTTCTCGCAAGTGCTGATTGCAGTGCTGCACGCAAAGATGTTCAATGACAACTTGCCTCACACAGGAACAGCTTGCAAGTGAAATGGCATGCGGGAGTGAATACGTACAAGTACTTTGCCTCCACAATGCACATTAAGAGAGTTGTTCTTCTTTGAAGCTGTGGTGGGTGGCAGGAATGATATCAGGTCACATCAATGGACAACCCACCAAAAATCGCCAAAGGCAGCGCCAAATCAAGTTTGTTGACGTGGCATGGTCCAATCAGATGCCAGTGTTTGTCTGTTCAACCCACCTGCCCTCAGGTCTGTAAGAGTTCTGGTTCATGGCTCCCTCACTTGCCGATCAATCTCTACACCTGGTGTGGGTAGATCAATCACAACGCTGGGTTCATTAAGAGACAGCTTGTTGAAGACTTGATGCCAAGCTACATGTTGACCTACTACTCTATTATAAAGCCAACTACTCCAGGAGTCACTGGCTGGGGTGCCTAGTGGTTGTTCACGGATTTGGAGGAAACTCGGGGTGTCCAGAACATCACATCCACCACGAATCCTCTCACTAAGGGACTATTATAGTGACTAAACAGTTTAAACACCACTCCGACGATGTGACTCCTGTCCTGGCCCCCCAAAAAAGGCTTCATCCTCTGCAGCGGATGATCCGACTCCTCCACGACTCCTCCCGAGCGCCGAGCGGCTCTGCTGAGCAGCTCGTAGCAAATCCATCGCCTCCTCCCATCGTTGCACGCGGCTGCAAGCGCCCAGGAGAGCGTTCAGGGTCACCAGATCTGCAGAGAGCTTCTGCTGGTGGAGCTCCTGGCAGTTGGAAGATTGGCTGAAGAACCTGCTCTCTGCCCCTGGGAGCGGCAAAAGATTGAAAGAAGGTGCTGACGTATGACTGAAGCTGGGCAGAAAATAGCGGCCTACCATGTCATTGGCCCTCAAAAGCACGCTCGTCCATCTCAGAAATATCTAACCCGGGAATCCAAACACCAGTCCATCCAAATCCAAACAATTCGAGGCAGCTGCATGTCGCTTCTTGTTTAGCATTTTTTGGCTTGCCCTTTCACCCACACGAAAGTCGCTCACCTCCAGCAAATGAAGTCCCTGTTGCCACTCTCCCGCCACCTCGCAGGCACTCAGGGCGGCATTGTAAGCCACCAGGTTGGCCTTGATCCTGGGCATGCCCAAAGCTTGGGCTTGTTTTTCGGCCCGAGCAGGAAGAGTCATCATTGGTCAGTAGAGTCGAGCCAAAGAAGATGGAGCTTCTGGGGGAGTGGTCCGGCATGTTCCATTGTTGATAACGACTTAAACTAACTCTTGGAGTTCTTCAGGTCGAACCCCCGCATAGATCCACCTTCCGCCACCAACCGCCAGAATTTGAGTCAAAAAGAACCATCGTTCTGACTGGTTCGGGGCAGTTTCCCACCTTCTCCAGGTACAAAGGGCATCGCTACTAGGAACAAAGGGCATCGCTACTAGGAGTCAGAAGCTACTAGTAGCTCCGGGCATTACTACTAGTAGCAAGGACGCTATTAGTATTAGATCACTGCTTGGATAGCCCCCCCTGTCCAGGGCCTTTCAGAGGCCGCTGAATGAACATCGTCACTTGATGTCACTTGTATACGTCTGCCACCCTGGTGGGCACCTCACTGAGTCGCTGGTGAGCTATCTCAATTCTGTGGAGCGGGCTCAATGAGAAAGCAGCATGTCTTCAAACACTTCAGCACAGCGTCTTCTGGGCTGGTAGGTCAGCAAGAATGCACAAGGCTCGCTCCCACTCCCCAGCCCTTTCGAAGGCACTGATCAAAGCACTTGCCATGATGACGTCCTTGGATGATCCGAGTAGCAAACAAGAACGCCAAACCATTAAAACTGAAACCACATCTAACAGCTCCACACCGCTCCACGACTAGCTCCACGCTTTCCTGCCCACACAGCCATGGAAGGAGAATGTCGCCTTCCTTTCCCATCCAATTCCCATTCTCCCCGACTCCCCTTTCTCTTCTACTACGTAGCAACAAGCTACTAGGTGGAGACCACCGCTATACTAAGCTAGTGACAATAAAGCCCCTTTTTGGACGCTCCCATCGCCAGGTCTCGGGTTGCACGCTGCTCCCATCAGCGCGCGCGAAGATCTCCATGGCGCGTGGCCACTGCGCGCCGCGCGCGGCGGAGGTCACCGCCGCCGAGAGGAGGATCCGGTTGGGCTCCTCGGGTCTCAGGTGTCGACGAAAAGTGCCAGAAGTTCCCAGAAGCCCCTTTATTCTTTTGGTCTCCAGAGCTCAGATGTTCTAATTCTTGTTCTTGTTCTTAATAGCTTCTTGTTTCTAGTAGTAAGGCTCTTGTTACTAGAAGCGATGCACTTGTTCCTAGTAGCTTATTGTTTCTAATTCTAATTCTTGTTCCTATAGTAGCTTCTTTCTCCTAGTAGTACGGCCAGGAGCCCCGTTCGTAGCGTCCTTGCTCCTAGTAGCGATGCCAGGAGCCCCTACTACCTTCTTGTTCCCAAAAAAAAGTCGGATGGAAAAGCATCTCCTCTCAACAGAACACATCTCCTCCGTTAGAATTCCTGTCCCAAGAGAAACGTGGGGTGTGGAACTGTGGAACTCCACCTGTTCCAACAGGTCAGGAAAGCTCAGAGGGGGTCATTGGTGATCCTTTTTACTAGTGAAAGGTGCGTAGATGGAAAGAACACGTTGCCTCTGCTCCGAGGGCTCAATAAGGAAACAGCCCCGTTCACCACGTGAAACTGGGTGTGACACCTCGGTTGGTTCGTTTGAGTCCACCGAGTCTCCACTGAGTGCACTGCCGACTCAAAGACCACCAATCCTGGAGATCCAAAGTGGTCCAAAGACCCAAGCAAAACGAGCAAAACGACCGAGCAAAATGACTACATTGTGTAGAAAAGGGATGGTTTGCCATATGTGTGGACACATGCCATGCATCGAGAGGTGGTCAAAATGAGTAGTCGTGTCATGTGGTGGCTGTTAAAGAAACTTAATTGTATAATACTACCGTATATGAACTTTCAACCCCCAACCATCCACAAGCAAAGAATCAAGAAAATGCATGGTAATCCCTCGTGTGTTTGGAGCGTCCACTCCTCTTTGCCACTCATCCCCTTTGGCACACGCGGTAATCACACTACTGAAGGTGATCACATCAGCCTGGAGTGAAGACCTCAACAGCTCCTCCAGCAAGTCCAAGGCTTGCAACCAGTGATCCCCACATGCATTGATGCAGCTGTTGTAGCTGATGATGTTCATCAACTTTTTCTCCCTCATCTCTGAGGCTAATTCAAGGCTCTCCATCCATCGCTGCCCCCGAGCCAAAGCGCTCAAGCAAGCATTGTAGGACACCTCAGCAGTGTCCAACCCTCTGTGTGGCCTCACAAGCCTTGAGCCTTGATTGGCCTTGATCCACCTTTCCGTCTGTCACCCCATCACCCAGCTCGATCCAGCTGCCCCATGCCACGCCCACTGCCCTACCCCTTTTGGGACCCGAAATTCCCCCAGCTGAGCCGCTGAGCCCGGGCGAGTGCTGCTCTCCAGGCTCTTCAAGACCTCTAAGGCTCTCGTCCACTGCATCGCCTCCTCGAGCGCTTTGAACCCCGCGGTGGCTACGAACAAACGGCTCTTCCTCGGTGCCAAGTCCTCGGAGAAGAGACGTGCAAAGCCCGAAGGCATGCCAAGCAAACAAGGAGAGAGCGAAGCGAGTGGAGTGTGGTTAATTGCACCCATGATTCTTGGGTCTACCAATCAATCTTGATCACTGACTGCACTCCATGGGAGGCGCCGACATTTACTGTGGTGGGACATCAGGAGGTGTATCCATGAGCACCTACAAACAGCAGTTAAACCCGAGAAACTGTGCCCATGCATGTTGTTAAGTACAGCCAACATTTAATCTAAACACCTTGGGACCTTAGGAGGTTACAAGAAGCTTTGACTTCTTATGTGACAGCCATAGGAAAATGACTCACGTGCCATATGGGGCCAGGATTCCGTGATCAGCAACGCCTCTCTCCACTGCACTTGGCGCGCACAGGCCGTTGCCAATTCTACATAGACCCGACCATCCAGGGGATGGCTTGCAGCAAGGGAAAGAGCCTTCTCCTTAGCACACTGCAGTGGCCACAACGTCCAGTGAAACTGCCAAAGGAGGAGCCAAACTGAAGATGTTTTACTCTTGCATTGCTTGCCTTTTCCTGAAAGACACGCTATACATCGCTATACAATATATATGTCAAGACATGCTTTCTAGCATTTTCTAGCCAAGTACCAATGAAACACCAAAGGTTTATGGCTCTGACTTCCCAGTGCTTGTGCTACATACTTGGGAAGATGGGTCTTTCTATCTCAAGCGACCGCACAGAAACAAACATACGATGTGGACTCGTCCAAGTCTCCCAATCCTGGCTCTTGGCATACTTGGAGGCAGCATTTCCGATCTCCGGCCCACGCGGGTCCATCCTTCACAAGAGTGGTAGCTAGGCACGAGCTGGTGAGACGCCAGGCACCGCGTCCACACGGCTCCACCCACAAAGCTCCGACATCATGAGATCAGCCCCATATCTTCCAAGACTTGAGCCAGATCAAGTCCTGCAAAATCCCCAGTGACCAGTGGAGTGAACATGAGTCAACATGAGTGAACACTAAAAATCACATCAATCAGCGCAATCCAGTGACACCCAAAAACACCAGCCGGGGCCCCTGACGGCGCCGTTCGCGCCGTTCTTTTTCTGGTCCCTTCAGGGCCGTCCATCGGCCTCCTCAGGCGGAAACACCGGCGCAGACTCACTGAGCAGCGGCGTTCGGGCGCCTGCACGGAGAGACTTGGAGTGCCTAATGGAGGGCTAAGCAATTCAATTCTTCATGAATTCATTCAATTAGCCATCAATGTTTGACATATTTAGGCTTATTGTGCATAATTAATCAGTGGTTCTGCTCTGGGGGTGCCACTCTTCTGATTGAAAAAGGTCATCTGATTGAGCTACCACTACCTCGCCATCATACCAGGCGGAAGGTGAGCGCGTGCCCGGCGCCCGAGCACGTCTCACTTCGCCTCGAGCGCGGCTCAGGGGGCTCCAAAAAGCCGTGGAGCTGCTCTCGAGCCGTCGAGAAGGTAAGCCCGGCAGCCGCAGCGGCATCAGCGTATCCACCTGAGCCCAGTGAATAGGAAGGAACATGAAGGCACCATCCTGTCAATCAGGGCAGGAAGTGGTCTCAAAACGGTTGGAAATCCAGCATTGTACATATGAAGAGGGGTCGAGAAATTCAGCATTCAGTCCATGTTCCGGAATTTTCACCCAGAAGTCGCACGCTACGAACGGGGCTCCTGGCATCGCTACGACGAACGGAGCGATCGGACGCTACGAACGGGGCTCCGAACGGTACTACTATAGGAGCAAGAAGCTTCTACTACCTTCTATTGTTTCTACGTTCGCTTCTTGTTACTATATATACTAGTAAGGCACTTGTTACTACTAGCGTGGCACTTGTTTCTAATAGCTTCTTGTTGTTACTAGAAGCGATGCACTTGTTACTACTAGCGAATAAAGGGGCTGCCGTTCCTCGTCAGGCCTCGGTCTAAGCGCGACACCTCCGTCCCCAGGCACGCAGGCGCACTGTCCGCGCGTCCGGCGTAGGCGCTCTTCCGTAGCTTCCGCAAAGACCTCGAAGGAGGACACAAGTTGACACAGAAAGAAACCATGCCGGGGTGGACTAGGATGACTTGGCAAACTGCGCGGAGATGTCTGATATGAAGTGAAGTATGAAGTGATGTGTCATTACTCATTACTGACTTACAAGGCTTAACCAGCTTCGTTTCAAACCAATGCAACGCCAAGAGCCCCCCGGCCATCGGTGCCCAGAGCCCCCCGGCGGGTTGCGTGCCAAGATCAACGCCAGTTGCCAGCGCTGCCGTGCACGGCGGCTGTGGGGTCCAGGTCTGGGTCGCGGCATCTGTGGTGGCGTGTGCATGTGTTTCTGTGTGAGTCAGTGTGTTCACACTGTGAGATGGCATGCTCAAGATGACCATTTTGCCTTCACTCAGGACTCCAGAAGAGTCAAGTTCAAGCTTGACCGAACGTGTTGGATGCGAAATGGCACCGCCCGCGGCCTTGATTTATATCGTTTGTGCCGGATGTTTGTCCAAGTCTATACAGTATGTTTCACACGGTT